TCCAAGGTCGCCCAAGAAGCCTCCAAGACGGCCCAAGAGGCCTCCAAGAGGTCCTCCAGGAAGGCCCGAAGAGGCCAAAATCATTGATGTTCCTTAGGTTCTTGAAAGATTCTGGAATTTGCTTCTTCTCGGCATTCCTACGGCTCAAGACGACCCCAGAGGCCCCCAAGATCGCCCAAGAGGCCCCCAAGAGGGCCCCATGACGGCCCAAGTGGCATCCAAGATGGCCCCAAAAGGACCCCAAGACGGCCCAAGAGGCCTCCAACACACCCAAGATGGCCTCCAAAACGCCCAAGATGGCCTCCACGACGGCCCCGAACCGCCCCAAGAGGGCCCCAAGTCGGCCCAAAGAGGCCCCCAAGACGGCTCCCGACGGCGTCAGACGTGCCAGGAACCCACCAAGATGGCCGAAGTTGGCTCGAAGCTGGCCCAAGAGGGCCTCCAGGACGGCCAGAAGAGGCCAAAAACAGTGATTTTCCTGAGGTTTTTGACGGATTGTGACATTTCCTTCTTTTCGGCCTTCCGACGGCCCGAGACGGCCCAGAGCCCCCAAAGATCGCCGAAAGATCGCCCAAGAGGCCTCCAAGACGGCCAAGATGACCTTCAAGATGCCCACGTGTTCCCCGAAGGCTTTCCAAACTGATTCGGGGAACACATGGTCCGATGGCTTGGCAGGTCTGGCCTCAACGTTCGGCCACATAGACGCTTCCAAAAAGGCAGAGGGCGGCGGTGGTTCGCCGTAGGCGTCTTCGATCCGCCGCCCCCTGTCGACTCATCGCAGGGGTGCCTGGCGTGCCGAACGATATGGCTTTTTGTTTTGGTTATATTTCCAAAAGAACTCCCCCTGGGGCTTCGGCCCGTCCCGCCGACCACCCGGAAAGGATCTCAAGGAGCTCAGTCCGGAAAAAAATCCTCCAAGATGGTTCAAGATGCCCGCCAAGATGGCCACGTTGGCCCAAGATGGCCTCCAAGATGGCCTCCGATGGCCTCCAAGTCCGCCCAAGATGGTCCAAGACGGCCTCCAAGACGGCCCAAGAGAGTCCAAGATACCTCCAAGGTCGCCCAAGAAGCCTCCAAGACGGCCCAAGACGACCCAAGAGGCCTCCAAGAGGTCCTCCAGGAGGGCCCGAAGAGGCCAAAATCATTGATTTCCCTAAGGTTTTTGAAGGATTTGGCATTTGCTTCTTCTCGGCATTCCGACGGCTCAAGACGGCCCAAGAGGCCCCCAAGATCGCCCCAAGATAGCCCACAAGGCCTCCAAGATGGCCTCAGGACTGTCCAAGAGGCCCCCAAGACGGCCCAAAGAGGGCACAAAGACGACCCAAGAGCCCTCCAAGACGGCCCTGAAGCACCCCAAGAGGGCCCCAAGTCGGCACAGAAAGGCCCCCAAAACGGCTTCCAACGGCGTCGGACGGGCCAGGAGCCCATCAAGATGGCCGAAGTTGGCTCGAAGCTGGCCCAAGACGGCCCAAGAGGCCTCCAAGAGGGCCTCCAGGAAGGCCCGAAAAAGCCAAAAACACTCATTGTCCATAGGTTATTGAAGGACTTTGACAGTTGCTTCGTTTCGGCCTTCCGACGGCCCCATACAGCCCAAGAGCCCACAAAGATCGCCCAAAGATCGCCCAAGAGGCCTCCAAGATGGCCCCAGAACGGCCCAAGAGGCCCCCAAGACAGCCCCAAGAGCCCCCAAGACGGCCCAGGAAGCTTTTGAGACGCCCAAGATGGCCTCCACGACGGCCCTGGAGCATTCCAAGAGGGCCCCAAGTCGGCTCAGAGAGGCCCCCCAAACGGCTTCCGACGGCGTCGGACGGGCCAGGGGTCCACCAAAACGGCCGAAGATGGCACTAAGCTGGCCCAAGACGGCCCAGGAGGCCTGCCTCCACGAGGGCCTCCAGGAAGGCCCGAAAAGGCCAAAATCTTTGATTTCCCATGAATGTTTCAGGGATTGTGGCATTTGCTTTTCTTCTGCCTTCCGACGGCCCGAGACGGCCCAAGTGCCCCCAAAGATCGCCCAAGAGGCCCAAGACGGCCCAAGACGGCCCCAAGAGGCCCCAAAGACGGCCTAAGAGGCATCCAAGACGCTCAAGATGGCCTCCAAGACGGCCCAGAAGCCCTCCGAGACGTCCCCCAATAATAAGGCCCGAAAGGGTCAAATGGCCTCCAGGCGGCCAAGATGACCTTCAAAATGCCCACGTGTTCCCCAAAGGCTTTCCAAACCGATTCGGGGAAAACATGGTCCGATAGCTTGGCGGGTCTGGCCTCAACGTTCGGCCACATAGGCGCTTCCAAAAAGGCAGGGGGCGGCGGTGACTCGCCGTAGGCGTCTTCGATCCGCCGCCCCCTGTCGACTTGCCACAGGTGTGCCTGGCATGCCAAATTATTTCGGTTTTGGTTTTGTTTCTTTTCCAAAAGAACTCGCCCTGGGGCTTCGGCCCGTCCCGCCGGGGTCCCGGGACGACCTTCCAGGAGCTCAACTCCCGGAAAAATCCTCCAAGATGGCTGAAGATGGCCTCCGAGATGGCCACGTTGGCCCAAGATGGCCTCCAAGATGGTCCCAGATGGCCTCCAAGTCCGCCGAAGACGGCCAAAGAGAGTTCAAGATAACCCCAAGTTCGCCCAAGAAGCCTCCAAGACGCCTCCAAGACGGCCCAAGAGGCCTCCAAGAGGTCCTCCAGGAGGGCCCGAAGAGGCCAAAATCATTGATTGTCCTTTAGTATTTGTAAGGATTTTGGCATTCGCTTCTTCTCGGCCTTCCGACGGATCAAGACGGCCAAAGAGGCCCCCAAGATCGCCCCAAGGTCGCCCGAGAGGCCCCCAAGATGGCCCCCAGAGGGCCCCAAGAGGCCTCCAAGGCGACCACGATAGCCTCCAAGACGGCTAAGATGACCCCAAGATGCCTCCAAGACCGCCGAAGATGCATCCAAGACGCCCTAAGCTGGCCTCAGTATTCCCCAACACGGCCCAAGACGGCCCAAGACGGCCCAAGAGGCCTCCAAGATGGCCTCCAGAAGGCCAGAAAAGGCAAAAAACACTCATGTTCCTAAGGCTTTCAAAGGATTTTGACAGTTGCTTCCTTTCGGCCTTCCGACGGCCCGAGACGGCCCAAGAGCTCCCAAAGATCGCCCAAGGATCGCCCAAGAGGCCTCCAAGATGGCCCCAGAACGGCCCAAGAGGCCCAAGACGGCCCAAGAGGCCCCCAAGACGGCCCAGGAAGCTTTTGAGACGCCCAAGATGGCCTCCAAGACGGCCCTGGAGCATTCCAAGAGGGCCCCAAGTCGGCTCAGAGAGGCCCCCCAAACGGCTTCCGACGGCGTCGGACGGGCCAGGGGCCCACCAAGACGGCCGAAGATGGCACTAAGATGGCCCAAGACGGCCCAAGAGGCCTCCACAAGGGCCTCCAGGAAGGCCCGAAAAGGCCAATATCTGCGATTTCCCACGAATGTTTCAAGGATTGTGGCATTTTCTTTTTTTCTGCCTTCCGACGGCCCGAGACGGCCCAAGTGCCCCCAAAGATCGCCCAAGAGGCCCAAGACGGCCCCAAGAGGCCCCCAAGACAGCCTAAGAGGCATCCAAGACGCTCAAGATGGCCTCCAAGACGGCCCAAGAGCCCTCCAAGACGTCTTCTAAGAAGGCCCGAAAGTGTCAAAAGGGCCTCCAGGCGGCCAAGATGACCTTCACGATGCCCACGTGTTCCCCGAAGGCGTTCCAAACAGATTAGGAGAACACATGGTCCGATAGCTTGGCGGGTCTGGCCTCAACGTTCGGCCACATTGGCGCTTCCACAAAGGCAGAGGGCGGCAGTGATTCGCCGTAGGCGTCCTCGATCCACCGCCCCCTGTCAATTCATCGCAGGGGTGCCTGGCGTGCTAAACCCTCTCAGTTGTGGTTTTAGTTCTTTTTCCAAAAACTCCCCTTGGGGCTTCGGCCGGTCCCGCCGGCCACCCGGAAAGGACCTCAATTGCAGAAAAAATCCTCCAAGACGGCTCAAGATGGCCGCCAAGATGGCCACGTTGGCCCAAGATGGCCTCCAAGATGGCCTCCGATGGCCTCCAAAGCCGCCCAAGATGGTCCAAGACGGCCTCCAAGACGGCCCAAGAGGGTCCAAGACAGCCCAAGACGGCCCAAGAGGCCCCCCCGAGGCCTCCAAGACGGCCCAAGAGGCCTCCAAGAGGTCCTCCAGGAGGGCCCGAAGAGGCCAAAATCATTGATTGTCCTTTGGTTTTTGAAATATTTTGGCATTCGCTTCTTCTCGGCTTTCCGACGACCCAAGACGGCCCAAGAGGCCCCCAAGATCACCCCCACAGCGCCCGAGAGGCCTCCAAGATGGCCTTAGGACTGCCCAAGAGACCCCCAAGACGGCCCCAAGAGGGCACAAACACGACCCAAGAGGCCTCAAAGACGCCCAAGATGGCCTCTAAGACGGCCCTGGAGCACCCCAAGAGAGCCCCAAGTCGGCCCAGAAAGGCCCCCCAAACGGCTTCCGACGGCGTCGGACGGGCCAGGAGCCCACCAAGACGGCCGAAGTTGGCTCGAAGCTTGCCCAAGACGGCCCAAGAGGCCTCCAAGAGGGCCTCCAGGAAGGCCAAAAAATGCCAAAAACACAGTTTGTTCCTAGGTTGTTGAAGGATTTTGACATTTGCTTCTTTTCGGCCTTCCGACGGCCCGATACGGCCCAAGAGCCCCCAAGATCACCCCGCCCAAGATGCCTCCAAGATGGTCCCAGAACGGCCCAAGAGACCCCCAAGACGGACCCAAGAGGCCCCCAAGACGGCCCAGGAGGCTTGTAAGACGCCCAAGATGGCCTCAAAGACGGCCCTGGAGCATTCCAAGAGAGCCCCAAGTCGGCTCAGAGAGGCCCCCCAAACGGCTTCCGACGGCGTCGGACGGGCCAGGGGCCCACCAAGACGGCCGAAGATGATGGCACTAAGATGGCCCAAGACGGCCCAAGAGGCCTCCAAGAGGGCCTCCAGGAAGGCCCAAAAAGGCCCAAATCATTGATGTCCCAAGAGTTTTTGAAAGGAGTGTGGCATCTGCGTTTTTCCGGCCTTCCGACGGCCTGAGACGGCCCAAGTGCCCCAAAAAATCGCCCAAGATGCCTAAGACGGCCCCAAGAGGCCCCCAAGACGGCCCAAGAGGCCTCCAAGACGCTCAAGATGGCCTCCAAGACGACCCAAGAGCCCTCCAAGACGGCCTCCAAGAAGGCCCGAAAGGGTCAAAATGGCCTCCAGGCGGCCAAGATGACCTTCACGATGCCCACAGATTCCCCGAAGGCGTTCCAAACCGATTCGGGGAGCACACGGTCCGATAGCTTGGCAGCTCTGGCCTCAACGTTCGGCCACATAGGCGCTTCCAAAAAGGCAGGGGGCGGCGGTGATTCGCCGTAGGCGTCTTCGATAACGCCAACGTCTCAATATACGCTGATGATTCCTATCCGCCCCCGCATGATGTTCCCAGATGCGACAATGCAGCGCCGAGACGCACCGACGCGACTCTGACGTACCCCATTGTGAGAGAGAGGGGGGGCCCGCGGCAGGGGGGCGAAGCCCTTACGGATATATCATGATAGAATGTGCTAGTATGTGTCGCTATGCTATGCTGTGTCGTGTTATGCTATATTGTGTGATGGTGTGTCAGAATATGATATGTTATGTCAAGGTGTGTCATGTTATGATCAATTATGGTATGGCATGATGTGTTGTGTCGTCTGACATGCTATGCTCTAGTATGATATATGGTGTGATATGGGTTGGCAGCACGGCTCTGTATGTCATAGTATGTTATGATATACTATACTGGTATATCTCGATATAAACGTGCTGTCAATGTTATGGTATGTTCGATGGTGTTGTGTCATGATATGGTATGGTATGCCAAGGTGTGATTGATTATGCTCGCTTATGGTATGGTACGTTGTGTCGCGTTGTCTTATGTTGTGTCCTAATATGCTCTGGTATGGTATGTTATGTTATGGCATGCACCCATGTTGGCATGACGTTGTGTTGTTATGGTATGTCATGCTATGTCAGGCTCGTGTTATGTTATGCCATACTATGTTATGCCATGTTGTGTTCTGTCATGTTGGTCGTCGCTATGCTCTGCTGAAGCGTTAATATATGCTCTGTGGTGATGAGCCATGATATGATATGGTATGTCAAGGTGTGCTCTAGTTTGTCATGGCATTGCTATGTGATGTTATGCCATGGTCTGTAAGGTTCGTGTTCTGTTATGGCATGTTAAGTTGTGTCACGTTGTGTTCTGTCGTGTCCGTCATCGCAATGCTCTGTTGCCGTAATAAGCTATGTTATATGGTACTGCATCATGATATGGTAGATTATCTTATGTCAAGGTGTTTTATGATATGCTCGATTGTATTATGTTATGCCGTGATATGTCGTCTTCTGTTATGCCATGTTCTGCTATGGTGTGTTATGTGATGTTATGTCATGTTAAACTTAGTCATGATATTGATATGCTATGTTTTGTCATGTTCTGTCATGCTCTGCTCCGAACTGTCATGTTCTGTTCTGTCATGTTGTGCTCTGTCGTGTCGTCGAGGCGCCAGGCGGGACACCCGGGGCTCTCAGGGATCATCGGGACAACTTAGGGTCTGGCGGGCGGGGTACGCAGGTGGAGTTGGCCGGACGCGAGGCGGGACTCTCGGTGATCATCGGGACAACTTGGGGTCTGGCGGCCGCGACATGCAGGGTGGGGTTGGCCGGGCGCGAGGCGAAATACCCGGGACCATCGGGACGACTTGGGGTCTGGCGGCTGCGCGGTATGCAGGGTGGGGTTGGCCGGGGGGCCTGTTCCTGAGATTTAACAACCCAAACATGTCGGGCGGGGAACAACCTGATATACATAAGCGCAGAGCTAGACACCCTCGCATTTCCTGCACTCTCAAAGAGACTTCCTGCTGACAGGTGCAGAGCGGACAGAGAGCCGCCGAAAGACTGGCTCCCCCGTCCTCTGCGTACGCGGATAGAGCTCAGGCACCAGAAGGACCCAGTCCTTCAAGAAGGCTCGACGCCAGCCAGCCAGCCTGAATAAACATCATCGTGCTCGGGAAAGGCAGAGGCCACGTCCGGGAAGCGTCCACGGAGTCTGCGCTCCTCTCGCCGTCGAGCGGACATGGCGACCCTCGCGCCGCTCATGCGAGGCGGTGCGCGGGCAGCACACGGGACGCACAAAGGCATGCTGGTACTATGTGTCCTCTTTGGAGGCGCGCGTCCGACCCGAACATATCGTACACCCATCTTGTAGTATATCGTTTCCCGAGCTGTGTGGCCAGAAAGCGCCCGCCACGACGCAGGTACTGTATCGATGCGCGCGTCGCCCCTCGGGGGGGCGACGCACATATGGTGTTAGTTTGTTGGGGTGACGCCGAGCACAGCCCACTGGGCACACGACTGGAAGAGCAGTGAGCTTGAAATCCTGGGCGGCGCGACCTCCAGCTTCTCCGCGAAGTCCGCGGACGCGTCCGCGAAGCGCTGGATGAGGTCTCCCCGCCAGCCATTCTCACTGCCTCTAGAGTTAAGTCGGGCCTGTACTTCTACAGGAGGAATATTCAGAAATATTACGAAAATAGTCGGGGGACAATTCTTTTACTATTTTTGAACATTTGGGGAATAGTTCTGGGGTATTTCTAATTTTTCGCCCAAAATCCCCCTGTAGGGGGACGTGCCCGACTTAACTCTAGGGAAAGCGGGCACCCCCAGCGAAGCTTCCCTCCCAAATGTGTGTTGGGGCCCCCGCCCCCACCGCCAACTCCTCTATCCGTGGTTCCCTTCCCCTGCGCCAGCTCCCGAACACACGCTACTTGGAACCGACTGTTGACTCTTAAAGAAGCTCGTTCACGCGGTTGAGCTCTTGCTTCTTTGCAAAATAATACACTACAAAGCAAGGTTCCCAAAATCCCACTGGGCCTCCAACAGGGTGCCCTAACGAGGGCACCGAACGGACATTTCGAGCCCTCGGCCCCGAGAGGATCCCAGGAGGCCCCAAGAGGCCCCCAGGAAGCCCCAGGAGGTTCCTGGGAGGCTGCCAAGAGGCCCCCAAGATGCTCTCAAGAGGCCCCAAGACTGCCCCCCAGAGGCCACCGAGAGCGCTCCGAAGAGACCCCAAACAGCATCCCTGAGGACTCTGACCCACGTCAGCGTCGTCGTCGTCGCCGCCGCCGCCGTCGTCGTCGTCGCCGTTGTTGTCGTTGTCCCTCTTCAGGGTCGGCAGCACCGGCCGTAAGGCCTTCGCAATCCCACCGGGCCTCTGGGCTGAAGTGGTTTAGAGCGATTCCTCTTCCAAACCCTATTCCCCTGGGGGCCTGCCCTGCCAGGGGGCCAAATCTGCGCGGACATGCGAAAATTCTGCTCACTGCTGGTGTGCTTGTCTTCGACCTGGGCCAGTCCGACAGCTGCCGCTGCTGGGCAGGCGACTTCCTGCACCGGAAGGAGCCACGTCCGCGGCAGCACCAGCAGTCCTGTCCAGAGTGGACGGGAAGTGCTGCTGCCCTTCGCCCCCCCAGCCTTTCCGTACCAGTGTTACGAGAACTGCGCACATGCACCGTACCATGCTTGGGCTCCCCCCAAGCCCCGCTCCAGCGCGGGACGGTGAACTGCTCTGCGGCTCCCAAGGCAGGAAAGCTATGCGCCGTATCACTCCTAGATCGAGGATCGCCGACGCCTCGAAAAGCGCCAACGCAGTACGGTGCACTGAGTCGCAAGCCTACGTCCCACCGCTGTGTGATGCTCCCCGGCGATAAGGCTGTGTGCACGGTGTGTTGGAGACTGGCCTCCACCCCATCGAACATCTCGATCGTCCGCGGACATCACGACCGTACCGACCCCCGTCGGCGCCCACTGTAGAAGACGACAAACCGGCATAAACAGAAACTTTTGGCGCTCTGCGCACCTGGATCTGCGCTGGACCCCCTCCACAGCGCGCGGAGCGCGCCAGGGGCGGCGCCCGAGGTGCCGCCGGGGGGGGGGGGGCCAGCGCGGATCCAAGAAATCCGCGCGGAGCGCCATAATTTTATGTGTATGCCGCCCTGCTCGACACTGGCCCTGCCCCGGGCCCTCCTGACTGCTTGCGGTGCTCGGGGCACCTCCCCGGCCGGGGGCGGTGCGGCGGGGGTGGGGAGAGACTCGCACGCACGAGGGCGCGGAGGCGGCCCACCAGAGAGGCTCGGACGGGGCCTGGCCCCGCTCGGCGCAGGCCCGGCCCGGCCAGGTTCGGAGAAAAAACGCGGTGCTGATGGGGGCCGATTTTCCACCACCACTACCATAGGTAGGAGAGGGAGGAGGAGGAGGAGGAGGAGGAGGAGGAGGAGGAGGAGGAGGAGGAGGAGGAGGAGAAGGAGGAGGAGGAAGGGAGGAGGAGGAGGAGGAGGAAGAGGAGAAGAAGGAGGAGGAGGAGGAGGAGGAGGAGAGAGCAAGGAGGAAGAGGAGGTGGAGGGGGAGGAGGAGGAGGAGGAGGAGGAGGCGGAGGAGGACGAGGAGAGAGAGAGAGGAGGAGGAGGACCTCCCCATCATCCCTTCTCCCCCGTCCTACCTATGGCGGTGGTGGTGGAAAATGTGCAACAAGACGGCCCAAGAGGCTCCCAAGAGGCCTCCAAGACGGCCCAAGAGGCCTCCAAGAAAGAGGTCATCCAGGAGGACCCGAAGAGATCAAAATCAATGTTTGTACTGAGGTTTTCCGAAGGATTCTCGCATTTGCTCTTTCCGACGGCTCAAGACGGCCCAAAAGGCCCCCAAGATCGCCCCAAGATCGCCCACGAGGCCTCCAAGATGGCCCCATGACGGCCCCAGAGGCTCCCAAGACGACCCCCAGAGGGCCCCAACAGGCCTCCAAGACGACCAAATTGGCCTCCAAGACGGCTACGACGGCCCACGATGCACCCAAGATGGCGTAGTATTGCCTCAACATGGATCCAAGATGACCCAAGATGGCCTCCAAGACGGCCAAGATGGCTCAAAGACGGCTAAGATGGCCCCAAGATGCCTCCAAGACGGCCCAAGATGCACCCAAGACGGCCCAAGATGGCCTCAAGATGGCCCAAGACGGCCCAAGAGGCCCCTAAGGGGCCTCCAAGACGGCCCAAGAGGCCTCCAAGAGGGCTTCAGAAGCCTCCGGGAAGGCCCACAAGGGTCCCAAGACCGCCAAAGAAGCCCCGATGACGGCCCCAGCACGCCCCCAGGTTGCCTCAAGAAGCCCCAAACATGCCCCAAGCCGCCCCCAGGGAGCCCGAACAGGGCCCCCAAACGCCCCCAAGAACCTCCCAGGAATCGGACACGCCTGGACCCGCAGTACTTTATAGAGGGGTCGGCGGATGTGGCCTAAGCCTATAGCATCGCTCAAACCCAGAAGTCGTTTTATGGCTTTCGCATTACCGCCTTTCCATTATTCAGAACGTCGAAGACAACCCAAAAGGCGCCCAAGATCGCCCCAAAACTGCCCAAGAGCCCCAAGAGGAGCCCAGGAGGCCCCCCAAGACGGCCCCATGAGGGGTCCCAGGTGGGGAACCCGAACTGACATGTTCAGCCCTCCGCCCCAAGATGGCCCCAAGACCCCCCCCCCCCACTAGCCCCCGAGGTACGCCCAGGGGGGCCCAAGAGGCCCACAAGAGGCCCCGAGAGGCCAACGTCAGGCCCTACGAAGCCCCCAAGACGCCCCAAGACACCCCCAAAACCGCCTCCAAGAGGCATCCGAAAGACCCCCAAGAGATCCTCAGAGGCATCCAGGAAACCTGAGCCCTGCAACCCAAGCACGGCGGCGGGATGGGCAGAAAACCACGCTCGGGGAAAAATATCCTGATGACCAAAATTACTGGATAGACTTAATAGAGGGGTTATCAACGAGCATGTGTTGTGTTAACGTTACCCGGGGGCCCGCGAGCTGCGCGAGTCGCAGGACACCGATCGATGGACGAAGGCTTGATGGAGACGAATAGCGATCCCCCTGGCCCGAAAGGAACGAAGGGCGAAGACTGAGAGGAGAAGGCGGACGAGAATCTTGAACAATCAGCGGGTCAGCAGCAAGAGGGCATGGCAACAGACGACAAAAACGGCAGAGGAAGGAGGGAAATTACCTTTCGAGACACGCCACCAATCAGTTACAGTCAGTGCGAGAACTGCGCGAGGCCGAGCTGCTATGTAAAATGCGCGCATGCGCGCCGCGAGGTCTTACCTGAGTCTGCGTGAAACGTCAGCACGCTAGAACCCACAGCAGCCCTCGAAAGTGGCGACAGTTTCGCTGATTGCAGCCCCCCAGGGATGGCGAGGTCGAATCTGAGTTTGCATAGGACGTCACTCCGCTGGTCCCCCACTGCAGCCCTCGCAAGGGCCGACAGTTTCGCAGATCGCAGCCCGCCAACGATTGCGAAGTCGAATCTGAATCTGCGTAAGACGTCACTGTGCTGGACCCCCCCAGCACCTCTCGAAAGTGGCGACAGGCTCGCAAATCGCAGCCCCCCAAGGATGGCGAGGTCGCACCTGGATCTGCGTAGGACGTCACTGTGCTGGACCCCAGCAGTCCTCGGCAGTGGCGGCAATTTCGCTGATCGCAGCCCGCCAAGGGTGGCGAGGTCGAACCTGAATCTGCGTAGGACGTCAGTATGCAGCCCTCGAAACTGACGACGTTTTCGCAAATTTCAGCCCCCCAGGGATGGCGACGTCGAATCGGAATCCGTGTAAGACGGCGCTGCGCTGGCCCCCACAGCACCCCTCGAAAGTGGCGACGGTTTCGCAGATCGCAGCCCACCAGGGATAGCGAGGTCGAATCTGAATCCGCGCATGGCGACACTGCGCTGCCCCCCCCCCCCGCAGCCCTCGAATGTTGGGACGGTTTCGCAGATCGCAGCCCCGTCGGGGTGGCGAGGTCGAATATGAGTCCGCGTATGGTGTCGCTTTGCCGGCCCCACCCAGCAGCCCTCGAAAGTGGCGACAGTTTCGCTGATCACAGCCCCCCAAGGAGTGGCGAGGTCGAATCTGAATTTGCGTGAAACGTCAGTATGCTGGACTACCCAGCAGCCCTCGAAAGTGGCGACGGTTTGGCTAATCACAGCACCCAGGGGATGGCGAGGCCTGGTCTGAATCTGGGTATGGCGTCACTTTGCTGGTCCACCCAGCAGCCCTCGAAAGTGGCAACAGTTTCGCTGATCACAGCACCCAGGGAGTGGCGAGGTCGAATCTAAATTTGCGTAAGACGCCACTTTGCTGGCCCCCCCACTGCAGCCCTCGAGAGTGGCGACAGTTTCGCAGATCGCAGCCCCCCAAGGATGGCGAGGTCGAATCTGAATCCGCGTAAGACGCACTGTGCTGGCCCCTCCACTGCAGCCCTCGAAAGTGGCGACGTTTTCGCAGAATTCAGCCTCCCAGGGACGGCGAGGTCGAATCTGAATCCGTGTAAGACGCCACTGTGTTGGCCCCCCACTGCAGCCCCCTGCAAGTGGCAACGGTTTCGCAGATCGCAACCCGCCAAAGATGGCGAGGTCTAAACTAAGTCCGCGC